CCGAAAGACCTCCAAAACGAGGTCGGTTATATAGTGGGGTCCCCCAGATGTACCGACATCTTCCGGGTTCCGCCGTCCACTATACTTTGCGTGCAATGTGGACGGACTTGGGTCAAAGACCTTTTCGAGCTTTTTCACCGAATTTTTTTTTGATTTTTGTGGCTGACATTCTTCTTATTAAAATCGCAGAAAATTCGAAACCGCACCAGCCAGCTGTTTCCATTGAACATCCTGCGAGAAAATTTCAGAGAATTTTTCCAATATGAACATTTGATCACAGAAAAACAAAATATAAAAACAAACTATTTTACAATTTATTCATGTAAATGACAATCTGGATTAGCAAATAAAAAGTATAATGCAATGGGCTTTGGGTGAGAAAAGGATTGGATAATAATAATAATATAAGGTGAGTATTTATGATGGGTGCAAATAAATTAGTTGAATATAATAGTCTCTGAAGAACGAGCTTTCGGGAACCCGGTATCATTAACAACGGTGAACTAGTGATACTGCCCAGCTGATGGTGACATGAGTGTACCAATGGAAGATGCATGAAGAGCCTCGATGATCTTTTTACCGGAAGAGAAGCGTTCTAGGCGGTTCGAGTTGCGGGACACACGTTCCTTGATACGCTCCAGCCATTTGGTGTACTGCTCGATCTCCTTCTGCTCAAGATGACGATCACTGAAAAGAAACCTTTTAGCATACTTGTAACGGGCCGGGCCTGTCATTCCACAAGTTTTGAAAATTTCAAAAAACACATAAGGGGGGACCCTTATGTGATTTTTTTTTTGATATTTTTTGATCAAACAGACAAACAATCCAAAAAGCACAAAAAAGTATAGAAAATTGTATTGAGAGCTCAAAATTCGGTTCAAAATGACACAATTTTTGCTACCGGGCCTTCCGGGCCGGGCCCGGGCCTCAAAATTTTCCTCAGGCCCGGCCCGGAATTTTACAAGTATGCCTTTTAGCAACAGCAGCAATGGTATAAGAACCACACCTTCTTCCAAGAATGGCATTGCAGCAGATGTTGATCATTTGCTGAATGACATAGTTTCCGTATTGGTGGAACAGCAAGATATCAAGTGCGTCGCGATTGGTCTCTGGGTGTGGAATATAACCTTCAAAGATTTCCTCCATCATTTCGAATGCCAAGCGATGTGGTGCACGAAGGAAAGCAACTTCGACAACGTGGGATGCATACTTCTCCTGGGACATCGATAGAAGATTGCGCCTGAAATAGATGTTTTGTTCATGATAGTAAAATAGAAACGTACAGAAGGCATTGCTCAATGATGATATCTCTGAATGTTTCCATTGCTCCACCACACTTCACAACATGTTGAACGACGTAGTTGGCGAACTCATTAGAAGCCAGTTGACCGCAGTTGCGAGTAACTCCGACCATCAAGTTCTTGAGCAGATGAAGACGTTGACTGTAGCATTCCAAATGTGGATCTTCAGACAATTTCTCGATTGTGGATTGAACAACTCGGCACCCGTACTTGTCTTGGCAAACAGCAATGAGATTTTCGTCATTGCAGAAGAATTTCACAACGAAATCCCAGGCAGAAACTGGAAGCGTCTTGATTATCTTCTGAATGACATGATTTCCGTTTTGATCGATGCTGAGGCGAACGAGATCAGAATCACGGAGCTCCGCTGCGAGACGGGAGGCTAGATGAACTTCCAGCTTCTGGACAGCGAGTTGAATCACACGACATGCACTCTTATCCAAGCAGAGAGTGTACATTTCAGTCACAAGATGTTCCATAACAATTTCTTGTTCTTCATTATTCGAGCACTCGACCATCCGCTGGACAAAGAAATTTCCGAACATGTTACGACACATGGAGAGGAACATGCTGCGATCCTCAACCATTCTACGGAAAATATCATCGTGAATCCCTCCGTCAGAGTGTTCTGGATACTGCTCTTGCAGGAAACGACATCCATTTTTGTCAGTAGCAAACTCAATGAGAGCCTCGTTGACAAGAACGTCTTTCAGAGTGACGCTCTCTGAAACTCCCCCGTTCTCATCGATCGCCCAAACAGGGAGAGTACTTCTCAAAGAACGGTTATGAGAAGTGTTCAAAGAAGAAGTAGTCGCATTGTTGAGCTCAAGGTCGATGAGACGAACGTGAACAGATCCGAGATCGCCGTTCTGGCGGCGTGGAGTGGACGATGGAGTAGCGTTTCGCCATGATGAATGCTGGAATTAGAGGCTATTCAGTGCACAACACACGCAAAAACCAACTTTGAATGAACCTCCAGCCTGTTTTGGAGTTGATTGGAACATTGGTGTGAACGGCTGTCCGTTGTTTTTTGAAGGAACCCACGAGGAGTTGTACGAATTGAAGCATCCGCCAAATGTCGCATTTGCAGACTCGTTGTGAGCTTGGCTGGGAGCCGGACTTTCGTAAATTCGCCCGTTTATTGGCTTGTTCGGGACCATGTATGTGTTGAGCTCGTTCTGTTGACTCATGGTTAGTGTGGAATTGCCCTACAAAAGACAGAATTCAGTAAAACGGTTTCATTGAAGTGAAAATATGAGAAGCATAGAAAGGGCGATCGTCGCTGATGATTTGAAACGACTAGCTTCGAATTGGTAGGAAAGGGAAAAAAAGCAAATTATCATGAAAAACAAATCAGCTTCGTTGAATATAATTTTTCGGCGCCGGCGCGGTAGACCACCGTACTTGTTGAAGGTGCATAGGTCTCGAAACGTAAAAAAACGTTTCCTGTCTACTGTAGCTGAAATTCCAGCCAAATTTTCAAAGTCGATATTTTGACCTCAAACTTTGGCAAAATGTTTCCCATAGTTTTCTCCAGTTTTCCCCAAAGTTTCAGCCAGATTGGAACACTCCCCGAGTTTTCGCGGAGTTGTTTTCCTTTTTGCCGACTCCCTGAATAACCCCATTAGTTTGTGTTTCGTGTAGCATTTACTCTGTGCGATTTTTAGTTTTTAGCCTACTAGTTTTTAGTCATTTATCTAAAATTTTGCACATTTTTTGAAACCTGAAAATATGTTCTGTTCATTTTTTTTTTGCGAATATTCAGTGGAAGTACAGTACTTTATCAAAGGATTTTAAGCTGAACAATTGTAGTGGTGTCAGCACGACGCGCGAATTTTGAAAATTCTACTGTCGCTCTACAATTTTCATCTCTAATTCTGAAACTTTTTTTCGAAAGCAAACATAGTTTTTTTCTGATTATCGATGAATCCAAAAGACTAAATATTTCGCAGCTTTCTGATGCTTGTAAAAGTTTCCCTTGAAGCATATGAGTTTATTGGCAGTTGTTTTTTTTCTGTTCGTTTCTAATTGAATCTAATTGAATATAATTTATTGGATTTTCAGTTTCTTGCTCAAATGGGGGTTATCATTCCCGTTGTGCTGGTAGCATTTGCGACCGTGTTTATGTGGCTCCTGTTCAAGCACTTGAGAATGCGTCATAAATTGAAGGTTTGATGTGCATGTTGTTTCAATCTGAAATAGATACTTATCAGCACATTAATCAACCAAGATCGTATCCCATCGTCGGACATGGTCTCATCACCAAGCCAGATCCAGAAGGTTTCATGAATCAAGTTATTGGAATGGGATACTTGTATCCCGATCCCCGTATGTGCCTTCTCTGGATTGGACCATTTCCCTGTTTGATGTTATACTCTGCGGAACTCGTTGAAACTATCCTTGCTTCGAGTAAACATCTGGATAAAGGTTTTGCCTATAAGCAACTGGAACCATGGCTGGGAAGAAGCATTTTGACTAGTCGAAAGGACCAGTGGCGCCCAAAAAGAAAACTCCTGACGCCCACTTTCCATTACGATATTCTCAAAGACTTTCTTCCTATTTTCAATGAACAATCGAAAATTATGGTTCAGAAAATGTGCTATATGGGAAAAGAGTAATTTGCAAAGTTTTTTTTGTGAATATACCGATACAATGTGTTTCAGCGAAAACATCGATGTGCTCTCTACAGTAACCCTCTGCACTCTGGATATTATTTGTGAAACTTCAATGGGGAAATCGATCGGTGCTCAGTTATCGGAGGTTATTAACTACTGAAAAAACCAGAGTCAATTATTACGTATTTCAGAACAACGAGTACGTCTGGGCTGTTCACACCATCAACGAACTGATTTCACGAAGAACGAATAATCCCTTGCTATGGAACTCGCATATCTATAGCCTGTTCGTTTGACACACTTTGTATTTTTAATAAATCGGATTAATTTTCAGAACTGAGGATGGAAAGACTCACGAGAAATGCTTGAACATTCTTCATAGTTTCACTAAAAAGGTAACCGAACTGTTCGATATAAGAAAGGCGAAAATATTGTTTTAGGTCATCATTGAGAGAAAAGAAGCCCTGAAAGAGTCAGGTTACAAAATGGAAGGACGTCTTGCATTTTTGGATTTACTGCTCGATATGGTTCAAAGCGGTCAAATGGACGAAACAGATGTTCAAGCTGAAGTAGACACTTTTATGTTTGAAGGTCACGATACAACATCCACAGGTCTGATGTGGGCGATTCATTTGATTGGAAACCATCCGGAAATTCAAAGAAAAGTGCAAGCGGAACTCGACGAAGTACTGGGAGATGAGGAAGATGTGACTACTGAACATTTGGCTAGACTCAAATATCTGGAATGTGTGCTCAAAGAGTCACTGAGAATTCGGTCATCTGTTCCAATTATCATGAGAGAACTGAGCGAGGATCAAGTTATCGGAGGAATCAACATCCCAAAAGGAGTTACTCTTCTTCTAAACCTATACCTCGTACATCGCGACCCTGCTCAGTGGAAAGATCCAGAAGTATTCGACCCGGATCGTTTTCTGCCAGAGAACTCAGTCGGCCGTAAACCATTTGCATTCATTCCGTTCTCGGCTGGTAGTCGTAACTGTATTGGACAACGGTTCGCACTCATTGAAGAGAAAGTTATAATGACTCACATCTTGAGACATTTCGACGTGACCTCTATTGAACCAATGCATGAGGTAAGACTATGAAAAAACCATGATATTATACTGATTGCAATTACAGGTCCGTCCGAAAATGGAAATCATTATGCGTCCAGTCTCCCCTGTCCACATCAAGATCACAAGACGCCGTCCCATAGTTTCCCCATAGTCTCAACTCTTTTAAAATTTATATATTGCATTATTCTTGAGAATGTTTTATAAATACAAGATCTTATAATTTTATTGCATGATGAATAAATGTATCGATTGCACCAATATATTAAATGTCTAAATATTTTTCGAGGGGTTAATTACCAGTCAGATTACTGTACTTCTTCTTTCAACTTGTCTAGTGGTGGTAGGGGTAGTGTTAGCACTGTCGGTTTTCTGAGGTCCACATTACTGTAAGGGTTGTTTGGAAGTCTATCCACTTTCCTTGGCATCGTCTGTTCAGCAATTGCAATTCGGCGATCTATATCTGAATGTTCCTTGGCGAGAAGCTTCATAGCTGGACTGATAGGCTCTGGCTCGATCTCCTCTTTTCTTCCCGCTGCCATGTCTTCCCGTACTTTTTCGGCTGCTTTATTTTCTCTTTCCCATGTATCCTGAGCATGGTTTCTCAATTTTTCGTCGAATTCTGCTTTCTCATAAGTACGGTCAGTGATTTTTACATTAGATTGAGTTGATCTGAAAAGTTAAATCGTACTGCTATTTTAAAACTAAAAAAACTCACGCTTTGCTTTTAATGATGTCATCTCTGGTGAGGAACCCATTTTTTCTGTATCTCGCCATCTTTTTCCTGTGTTTTCTGTTCCGGTTTCTAAGCTGTCTCATAGTCATTCTGTCTCTGGGAGGAGATCTAGTGGCGATTTCTTCGAAAGGATTCGCTGAATCTTTAGTTGGCTCTGCCTCTGTTGATCTTTCTGAACGAAACGATTAGAGAATTCAAGTAACAAAGTGTGAACTTACTTTTTTGTAATTTCAACTGAACTCTTCGAAACGGGGCTTTCTTTTTGAGGTCGTTACCAATTTCTGGATCATCTGTTTCCTTCTTTTCCTCATTCTCTATTTTTTCACCTTCCGCCGTGAACGCTGGTTGTCTATCCAGTTCAACATCGTCTTCTTCTCTATCTCTTGCCAGCTTTTCCGGACGTGGTATCTGCTTTCGAACAGCGTCAAGCTTATCCAGTTCCTATAAGTTGATTTAGAAAGTATTCAGATCATCTGTGAGTTGCTCAGAATAAGTAGAGACTTACCTCTAATGTGACACCTCCGTACTCGAGATTAGATTGTGCCATCATGTTAAGCATGATTGCATCTCTCGGTCGCAAATTCTTGCTTTCAAACCATCCATGAGGAAAAAGTAGCGGTTGTGATGTAACTATGGAAGTGGTAAGAACAAAAACACAAGAGACTACTCGGATCATGTTCAGTTCATAGTGATTCGACTGCTATGAAGGTGATCATGTCGTCAAATAATCGAAAGTCCACAGCGTGATACCGCATCAATCAGGTTCCTGCGACTACTGAGAACTAGCGGACTCTCACCGCTGGCAACAAAATATATGGCAATGGCAGTTGCCGGTTTATTCGAAGAACGATAATATTTTATATTTCATGGATTCATTCCTTATTTCAAAAGTACAAGAATACATAGTATAAAAAGGAAATTATAACAGAGAACAGTAGTGAGAAGTTATCATAATTACAAATTTACATCAGTTTTTCATCTGCTTATGGTTCCACATCTCCATTATTCTTCGCTTTCAGTTCTTCCACATATTTTTTCACACAAGTCGAACTGTCGATTGGCTTATGAATTAAGTATTGGAAGTGAACTGAAATTGGTGTCGAAATGTCTTCATTTAGACGAAAAACTGTTTTGGTTTCATCGGGTTTCATTGCCCAGCTTGTTCTTCCGGTATCAAACGAAATTTGTCCTTTAAAATCACAAATAACCAATCTGAAGCAGAAATCAATTGAAACCTCATTGTCACCTCAACTAGATATCTAGCTAGATTTACCTGAAGTGCAGAACGTGTGCCGACTTCAAATTCACTGAGTATGGTGTTTTCCTATTTAGGCAGTTTCTTATGATACAGACCGAGTAGTCGTTAACATGTAGCATTATATCAACTCCCGAGTTGTATCCCACCCAACGCCAACATTTCTGGAAAGCAGTGTCATTCTGCTTCAATAGGTATAAAACGCATACCGGGAAAGAATCCAATGATCTGCCTAGTCTGTTGCATGTTTCGAAAAATTCATCGTCGCTCATCTCTAACGGTCTGAACCGCAATATGATTGGAAACGAGCTCTCCAGTTCAACTTACTTTGGGTTTTCCTCATTTTGTAGCAAGGAAAACCATAACTGTGAAGATATTCCGTCTACTATTTGGATCGGAATCAGTCCATCGTTTTTGATCGTAGTTATCGTGTCAGAACGTATTAGGATTTGTCCCATGCGAATTTTTGAAATGATATCAACGTACTTCATGAGCAAAAAGTCACTATTCGCTGTTTTGAAAAAGTTCTTGATATTTGAATTGAACTGCTCATTAGGTTCATCGTGGTTGCAATCGGGATTCTCCTTCATATAGATCCACTAAAACGCGGTATTTAGTGTGATTTCTAATTTAAGATACAACTTACTTGTAAAACATGCTGGTATAGATCGTATTCACCTTCCAGTGTAAACATGTTCGGTGATGTGAGAATAGTTTCGAGCAGGTCGTGGCTAACTTCTCTTAATTTTTCACGAACAGACAAGATTTTCCAAAATTGATGAAGAATCAACTCTATAGACTTCTCGCGAACGTAATCCAACCCATAGCTGTGGATAGTTCATAATATCGAACCGCATTATCTGTGCTCAAAGCTGATATCATCATCTCTGCACATCTTTCACGGACACTGTCCAGCACAATATACGAAGCAGCTGCCACAGTTCCTTCTATTTTTTCCAGATCAATTTCTATTTCGTTATGATATAAACTTCCGAAAACTGCATTCAATCCGTCTGCATCAATGTTCGGATCAGTTATTTCCATATCGATTCTCCCACTTTTTGATTCCGCCCAAGAACCTTCAAGCATCATCTGGAAAGAAAGAATGCATCTGGAGTTTACCGATAAAGGCTGACTTCGAAAAATTTTGTCTGTTTGAGATAAAGTTTATGAACCTTCCATTCCCTGCCACATGCCGCAATTGTGATATCAGAATCCTCTCCCTGCAAAAATGATCTGTACATTTGTGCACTGTTTGCTCTGACCTCAAGAAATAACTTCTGATAAACATAGGCGCATGTGTTCAGCTTGGCTATTTTCTTTGTTTCTATTTCATCTCCTTTGCCAGTTTTTCGTTTTCTTCCTCGTCTTGGAGTTTTATCTGTTGGGTCCAGAACATCCATCACTTGATGTCCGTTTGGTAGTGGTTCCCGCGAAGGAGTTCTCGAATGAGATTGTGATGTTCCCATTGTAACTGGAAAAATATGATGGAGCAAAGAAACAAGCCTATGAAAATATCGAGAGACCCCGTTCGAGTTCGCAAATTTATGTTGATGCCTAACGACGTTCCAAAGTTAGAGAACGTTGCATCTATGAGACGCAGGTGTACAAACGCTTCTTGGCATTGGGGTCACATGAGGTTCCAAAACAAGTAGAATGATCAAGGCGAATAAATTCATAAGGTATGCAAATGGGCAGGATGGAGTATTTGATATTCGACAGGATCAATCGTTACTCAGTCTGCCGATCCTTCATGAATATCTTCCAGCAAAAAACTATTGAAAATGGCGGAGATGTGTTCCTGCTGTAGAACACTAATGTAGAACACTATTTAACTACATAGCTCTAGTGAATGCTTTTTATAGTTTGAGAATCTGACTTTTTCATAAAAAAAAGCATTAACCAGATGAAAATTTTCATTAAGTTCATGATTTTCTCGATGTCCTCTTTACGACTTTCAAAGTTTCGAATTCATTGAAGTAAAAGAAGAAGAAGAAGAATACTTATTTGCAGCAGAAAACGAGAGAGCAGAGAAAAGAACGATGTATTGGAGAGAAACGAGGCGACAAGAGAAAACAACGAGCGCGTCCCTTCTGAATATTGCGCCCGCGAAAACACCGAAAAAAGGATTTCCTCTGGCTTATAGGTGCACCGAACAGCTTCGGAAAATCAGGTAATTTTTCATATGCATCCTTCCATTATGCAGTTAGTATTTCTTCTAGAAAATGGTTGGCAGTAAACCAAATTCTAAAATTATTATATTCATGAAACGGAGCGTTCTACAGCACCTGTGTGATATACTAGACACTGATAACACATGGGAGACAATTGGTAACCAATTTCCTTCTTCCGAACTAAATTCTCTGTATTTCAGCTCCATACATGTCAGGAATCGCGATGCGAGATGTTGAAGCGTGTAAAAGATACGGAAGTTACAATCAAAGTCCATCAATGTTGCTTCTAAGGATTTGGTGCTCGAAAGGGTTCACTGTGGTACATCTTTATCAGCTCTTCGCTAAAACAAAACTGATCCGGTTGATGAGAGTTATGAAGAGTGAAGGTTACTGATAAATTTGGTTCTAATCAAACCCATTGTTTTACAGTAGACGAAAAGTACCATTATCTAGAAGAAAAAGTTCTGAATCCGGCACGAAGACTTCGTCCGATCGTTCCACCTGCTGGAACACAACAAACTGCATCTCGTTTGAAGAAAATTGATTCGAAGGATATGACATCGACACCAACACAATCTATAACAACGTTTGTTTTATCAAAATTTTGACTGTTTCTTTTAAATTATATTTCAGCTCTTCCACAAACGACCCATTGCGTGTGGCTATTGAAGGAACACTTCCGGTAACATACCAAGAATTGTCAGAAGCCACCAAAGGATTTTCTGTAAATAACGTAATTGGCAAAGGAGGATATGGTACTGTATACAAAGGAGAAATCAGAGCAACCGGTGGTATGGTTGCTGTCAAACGGATTTTCGCCGGGAACGATAACAGCACGCAACAAGGATCAAAAGCGGAGAAAGAACGATTGAGACAGAGTTTAACTGAATTGAGAACGCTGGCTAGATTCAGACATGACAACATTCTCCCGATATACGCTTACTCCCTAGAAGGACCGGAGCCATGTCTAGTATATCAATTTATGGCGAACGGATCTTTGGAAGATAGGTTACTGTGTAGGGTGAGTAATACAAAAAGTCGAAGTTTTCAAAGCTTTGTCTCGAATTCAGAAGGGAACAACACCGTTGACATGGGTTCAGAGGAAGGAAATAAGCATCGGAGCAGCACGTGGTATTCATTTTCTTCACTCCTTCGCTAAAACTCCTTTGATCCATGGGGATGTGAAAACCGCCAACATTCTTCTGGATAAACATATGGAACCGAAATTAGGAGATTTCGGATTATGTCGTGACGGGCAGGCGGAAGTTGAAGCAACTGAAAAGCGTCCATTAATAGCTTCACATATCAAAGGAACACTGGCTTACTTGGCTCCCGAATTTATAACTTCGAAGATTTTGACAACGAAACTGGATGTTTACAGCTATGGAATCGTATTGCTGGAGATAGCATCGGGACAGCGTGCCTACTCAGAAAGTCGAAAACACGTGGTCTTGTTGAATTCTGCCAGTTGAACAAAGAATTGGCTCGTCGACAAAAGATTCCCCTTCGAGAAATCCTAGTTGATCGGAAAGCTCCAGCACTTGCCAACGAATTTGAAGAACAGTTTTGGGACACCCTGCTTGATATTGGACTAGCTGGTGTCTGTGTCGACAGGAAACTCCGACCGACTATGGCCCAAGTCGTAGAATGCCTCTGCAAAAACACAACTCCAACGATTCCTTGAAAGACCTGAAACACTTCTTCATATATGTTTTTCTTGCCATTCCAACCATCTGTTTTAAAGTGCTTTTCAATAAAATAATGACTGTAAGAAAATTTCTAAATAGAATCTGCTTCTGTCATCTTCACCGGATGAATCGGAATTATAATATCTGTAACCGGAAACTTCAAGGCGGTCTAGAATTTCCCGTTTTGCTGGAAATTGAAATTTTGGACGAGTTCTGAGGTTTCTCATATTGTGAAGCGATTCTTCAAAGTTGTTCTTTTCTAATCGAATCTATATATTTTAAACACATTTTCATGCAATACCTGTTTTTGTCGGAGTCCCCTTTGAATATATTCAATTCGATTTACAGCTATGAATGAAGTGATACGGTATGAATGCAAAGATGACAATTTGGAAGTCTACATTGTGCAACCTGGAGAGAGACTTTCCATCTACGGATCGTGTTCCATTCTTTGCTTGGGCAAGTAGTTATTCCTTTATTTGCTAATTCAATATTCTCGTTTCAGCTGGGAAAGCATCTATAAATGACTTTGTTCTGCCGTCAGTCTCTTGTGAAAAAGGAAACTTTCTGAAAATTTCTGCACCGCAAAGAATGGATCTTCCGGTATGACAGAAAAAGAACCGGTGTCATTATATCGAATACATTTGAGGTGATTCTGAAAACCTCAATCGATTCATCGACCGCATACAAACACTCCCGATTGAAATTTCGACTGAAAGAAGTGGCTCCAAAGTGTTATTCAGATATTATGCAGATGATAGGAGAGAAAGAACCGGTAGTTCTGGTGTTCAATAAAGTTCTAGATACAGCAGAGGCTACAGTCTCTGGTGTTATTACCGTCAGTCAATAACATTAAGTCATTTAGATATAACAATGTTTTTTCAGAACTTCTTGATTCATTCTTCGATTCAAAAACAAATCATTCTCCCTCCACATTTCCATATAAGCCGCGATGACTTTCGCATATATCCACAAGATGATGAGGCTCGTTTGAACACTCATCTAAATCGGTTGAACAGTCTAAAAGGTTATATAAATTCATTAACAAATTTTGGAAATATTTTCTGATTTTGAAGCGGACGGAGTCAAGACATCAATCCTCCCAATTGGCCACAAAGGAGCTGGAAAATCAAATTTGATGCGGAATTTAGTGAATCGGTGTCTTTCGAAGTATGTATTTGGTTTTTTGATTTTATTTCTAGGATCAATTTTTCAGTGGCTACGAACACGTATATGTTCTTGACTGTGATATTGGACAAAGCGAATTCACTCCAAATGGATGTATCTCATTGACAAAAGTGACGTCTCCGCTTTTGGATAAACCATACGGGCATCAGAAGAAAACATTTGATAATTCATATTTCTATGGTGATATTACAGTTAACGACAACAACATTGATCATTATATGGTTAGTTTTGGTTTGCAACTCGAATAACCAAAAACAAACATTCAGGATATATTTGAAAGACTGTTCAACAAGTTCAAGCTAATTAGCGAGCCAGGATCGGTATGTATCGTGAATTCAATGGGCTGGATAGTGGATGAAGGAGCTGAAATATTGGATGGAATTATTCGGGTTATCGAACCAGATTTGTGTGTTGAAATCTTCAGAGATCAGACAGAGGCTCGTTACAGTTTCAAGGTTAGTGAAAACATCAGAATACCTATCTAGCGGCAGAGATGTTCAAAATGGCCTTTCAGGATTTTTTCGGAATCTCGAAATGTTCGGAATTTCGAACATTTCGGAATATTCCGATTTTGAAATTTTCGTAATTTTGTAGTCACTACGTCTTTGAAATAGTCCAAAAAGTTCTGATTCCGAAAAAATTTCATTCCAATTCAATTATTCCGGTTCCGAAAATGCTCGGTATTTTCGGAATTCCAAATCCGGATCCCTGATTTAAGGAAGATTTCAAATTAGAATAATAAGAAGAAATTTGTTTCAGGAATTCGAGAAGTGCAAAGTTGTCGAAATCTTCGCGAATAACTCAGTGGGAGTTATTGGACTACCAAACCAGAAAAAGCTTCCTGCTCCTTTGCACCGTGAATTGACAATTACCGGATATTTTTCGTCACTTTTGCCAAGGCCAACTATCGCCAGTTTTGCTTCGGTCCCTCCATATAGACTGAATTTCCGGTATATATAAGCTCAACTATTATTTTCACCCATGATTGATCCCGAATTTCAGCAACATCACCATTTGTCTTCCTATGGATTTACTGGTCGAAGATTGCCACATTTTTTCATCAATCAACACTCAACTAATCGCTTTGTGTGTCAAAAATCCAGATTTAAAAACACGGAAGCTGAATGGTAAACAGGATATGCCATCACTGAGCGTGATTGATTCGACGTCTCCTGCTCTGCAATGCATTGGTTTCGGAATCATTCGAGGAGTGAACGTCGAGGAACGATCTGTATACGTGGTTACTCCAGTCAATTTACTCAAGTTACAAGAACCACCTCTTCTAGTTAGAGGCATGCGAATCCAAACGCCGTCTCAGTTCTTCACAGCAGATGTAAGAATTATTATAGTCTTTCCAATCAATTATTATCGTCTGTAATTTTCAGCCTTACAACAGATGCCCGTATGTGCTGAATCTTCCGGACAAATCATCCCATGCTAGTGCTAACCTGGATGGTCTATATGAGCCATCTATAAATACGACACAATTCAAAAGAAGCAGGAGATTTTGATTAGTCAAATGCTTTCTAGCTTTGATGTTGATCCAAACTCGTTGTTTTTGTTTGATTTTTATTTATTTGATTGTTAAAATTTTAGACTGTTTTCCAGTGTTTTATTTATGATTTTATTTTCTTGATGAACAATTTTTTGTGTTATAACTGGAAAAATCATATTTTACTATTGTTCAGAATTAATGTATTCTGGAAAAGAGCGTTCTGGAATCAGAGGATACGATGCTCAATGTTTATTGGGTAACAGATAAAAAAGAAAAAAAAAGAAAAGTTATCAGGAAGTGAAAGCTTTGAAAATCGAAGATTTGAATTCGGAGGTCAGTGTGATCCAGTAGATCCTTTGCTGCCAGAAAGCTCAGCGTACGCTATCAATTTCTATTTAATTTTCTTTTAAAATTTGATTTCGGTCATATGGTAAAAGGGGGACGTTCAGTGATAAACACCTAGCCATGAACCCCAAACAATGGCGACCTGAGGCCTTTTAGTACTTTTTTACTTCAATGACGTCGATCAGTCTTCTAAAAAACGAAATAGCAATGAGTAGCGCATCGGAAGCTTTCTGACAATGGGCAGCATTCAGCTCTTTCCAGCATCTCATATCGAATCCTCCTTGCTCATCCGTTGCCCAGTGATCGTAGAGACGCCAATAGTATTCGTAGAAGTGATCGGATACCTTGCCTTCCCAGCTGCCCTGGAAGCTCGTTACAACTCGGACTCCTCATCGACTCCTCGGCCCAACTTTTCGTTGATTTCTCCAGCTTATATAGCACCCGGAGATCAGATCTGGAGATAAGATAAGAAAAGAGTTCATTAAAGTTGTCAGCACGCGGAATTTCTGGTTCTTTTTTGTAATTAAAAAACGAAAATAGTAAATTCACGTCAAATTACTGTAGTTTTTGATTTAGATCAGTGTTTTGAAAGCATGTAAACCTAGATCAACAGCATCAGTAGATCTCTCACATCAGGACACCTAGAATTTTAGAATGGGAACTATGAGAATTTTCAAAGTTTTGAAATCACTCGACATCTTTGAATCTCAGACTTCCAGAATATCGAAATTTCAGAATTTCAGAATTTCAGAATTTCCTACAGTACCGTGCAATAAGATATACAATTCGTGTTTTTCATATATACAATTCGTGTTTTTTTTTTTTTTTTTTTTTTGTGAAATATAGCAAGTCTCCCAAGAAAAATGAAACAAACCACTCTCCACTTGAAAAATAAAAGAAAACATTTTAGTGGAAAAATTCACTTTTTGAAAAACTTCGAATTTTTGGGTCATTTTTTTAAAAATCTGGGAAAAATAGAAAACGGTGATGAATGTGGAATATAACATTTTGAACATTATAAAAGAGACTTTGACCAACTTTTAAGCAAATCATGCATCATCGAAGTACAATTCCGTGTATGGAACGCTTGTTGAATGATCATTCTCGGCTTGCGGGATCTGTTTTGTATTGGGGTTCACGTTATTTCATCCCTCTGTTGGCTCAGATAAAAAATTTGACCTTGAAAAAGAGAGAATCTCATGTTAGTCATACTCAAACAATAGCAATAACTTCTTCTTACAAATAAATCGTTGAAAATTGATGAATGGAACACTCTGGAAATGAAACTGAACCAGTGTTCTTTCATTTCATTAATTTACTAAATGAAATCACTTTTGAAATCAGTTCTATCGTCTCCATGGGCTTTCCGCATCACAAAATTATGTTTTATAGGGTTTAACGGAACTGTATTATTGATACCTATTGAAAAAAGTGTCAAATTCCAGCAGCCGACTCTGACACGATGAATAAAAGTAACCCTCATACTTGTTTTTGCTTGACTCTCAATTTATAAAATCATTTTTTGGAGCTGAAAGAAACATCTTTTGAGTGATAAATGAGAATATATTGTAGAAAAACACCTGAAAAATAATAAAAACACAAAAAACCAAACATTGACAACTTGAAATTGGACAACGATAGTTGGAAAAGCCCAGAAGCCGGAAACCTCTAGTTGACACTTCGAGAAGCCGTTCCATACACGGAATTGTACTTCGATGATGCATGATTTGCTTAAAAGTTGGTCAAAGTCTCTTTTATAATGTTCAAAATGTTATATTCCACATTCATCACCGTTTTCTATTTTTCCCAGATTTTTTAAAAAACGACACAAAAATTCGAAGTTTTTCAAAAAGTGAATTTTTCCACTAAAATGTTTTCTTTTATTTTTCAAGTTGAGAGTGGTTTGTTTCATTTTTCTTGGGAGACTTGCTATATTTCACAAAAAAGTTTGACGCTTCAGCTCTATTTTGAACAAAGTTACAGTTGAAAAACACGAATTGTATATCTTATTGCACGGTACTGTAGGAAATTCTGAAATTCTGAAATTTCGATATTCTGGAAGTCTGAGATTCAAAGATGTCGAGTGATTTCAAAACTTTGAAAATTCTCATAGTTCCCATTCTAAAATTCTAGGTGTCCTGATGTGAGAGATCTACTGATGCTGTTGATCTAGGTTTACATGCTTTCAAAACACTGATCTAAATAAAAAACTACAGTAATCTGACGTGAATTTACTATTTTCGTTTTTTAATTACAAAAAAGAACCAGAAATTCCGCGTGCTGACAACTTTAATGAACTCTTTTCTTATCTTATCTCCAGATCTGATCTCCGGGTGCTATATAAGCTGGAGAAATCAACGAAAAGTTGGGCAGAGGAGTCGATGAGGAGTCCGAGTTGCAACGAGCTTCCAGTGCAGCTGGGAAGGCAAGGTATCCGATCACTTCTACGAATACTATTGGCGTCTCTACGATCACTGGGCAACGGATGAGCAAGGAGGATTCGATATGAGATGCTGGAAAGAGCTGAATGCTGCCCATTGTCAGAAAGCTTCCGATGCGCTACTCATTGCTATTTCGTTTTTTAGAAGACTGATCGACGTCATTGAAGTAAAAAAGTACTAAAAGGCCTCAGGTCGCCATTGTTTGGGGTTCATGGCTAGGTGTTTATCACTGAACGTCCCCCTTTTACCATATGACCGAAATCAAATTTTAAAAGAAAATTAAATAGAAATTGATAGCGTACGCTGAGCTTTCTGGCAGCAAAGGATCTACTGGATCACACTGACCTCCGAATTCAAATCTTCGATTTTCAAAGCTTTCATTTCCTGATAACTTTTCTTTTTTTTCTTTTTTTTATCGAATTCTCGTCTTATCGACTTTCATTGACCTACGCATTTCGAGGGAAGATTTCTGCATATTTCAATTTCAGAGTTTCAAATATCTTTTGAATTTTCGAACTGCTCAGTTTTCGAGTTTCTGATATTCTAAATTTTCGAATTGGAGCATTCTTTCGAATGTTTTTTGCTCCTGGAGTTGTTAGCTTTCAGAAAATACAATATTTTGAGTAAAAAATGTTCAGTTTAAGTACAACTCGCAAGTGTTTCGAAAGTTCTGAATTTTTGAATTTCAGAGAAAAGTGTCGGTAGCTAAAAAAATAAATTTTGATATTGTATTGTTCAGTGAAAAATGACTGCTAGTTGGCAGCCGAAAGAGGATCAACGGGTCGTTGACGGACTGTCGACGGGCCATCGGAACCACTTGGATAACCGACTCGAAACTTTCGATTGGAAGTTAGACAGAAAACAATATTCTATGCTTTGATTAAGGTATAGAATAAAGATGGAAGCTAATTCTCCTCATATCGGACATCTCAAAAATATGTTGGTGAAAAACGGCGACAGTCGTAGAGGCGCTGACTGGTCGATGGCGGCTGGTTGGCGGACCAAATTCTTTTAGAACGGAAATTTTTGGAAAAAACCAGCCTGTTTGCCGCGCCTCCGGTGCTTCAAACAGTTGGCTGGTGCGGCTTCAGCGCGATATAAGCTATATCTTTTAATGTTCGTCGCTTCGCTCCTCTGTCTTACTCAAAGGGTCACGTAAATTCATATTTTATTTCATCTTTTTCAACGTGAGCGGACAGAGAAAAAGACGCAACTTTATTTATTTATTATAAGAATGATATTGCTGAAATATTCCTAAAAATGTATTACAGTACGAAACTCATAGAGGATTCTGAAAATCTAAAATTGCATTATTAGAAGCATTTATACAAAAATTAGAATTTGAAACTCGGTTGGTGAAAAACGGCTCAATACTCATTCTATGCTGATAGAGCAAACATAAATATTTCATTCAAAGCAAATAAGTTAACAACAAAATACACCGTAAATATTCTTGATTATCATTCCAGCATGTTTTCAACTTCAGAAACACATCTCTTCATCGTTGACCGTTCTCAAATGCATGGATTTTATATTGAATGTTGCTGGTCCGAATTCGATTGATTTATCATGTAGAAGGACAAGAGAGAAAGATCGAGCACCAATATCCAATGGGAACATAACCTGTAATTGAAATACTTTTTGTGAATGCCTGTGATAGAACGGCGCCCTAACTTTTAACTTTGAGCTAGTTTTTATCCGTTTCAGTCAAATATATGAAAAAGTTGTGGCAAATAATCATTTGCTGCCAGATCATTTGCTACCGGATCAATTGCTACCGGTGATCAATTGCTACCAGTTATTATTTGCTACAGGTGATATGTCGCTACTAGATTAACTGCTTTGAAACAAGAAGCCTGATGTTAAACACAAACTGGCAAATGGTCATTAGGATGGGATCTGAAAAGTTGATACTTGGGAACAATTGTTATATGTCTAGTTGTTCTGAAGTTCCGAAATTTCCAGATTCCAAAATTCCAAAGTTCTGAAACGCTAAGAATTCTGAGATTTTTAAGCGCTGAAATTCAGGAATTCAGAAACCCCCTCAGAAAAATTGTACCCCCGAATCACGAGTGTTGTACCCCTAAATGAAATGAATTGTACCCCCCCCCCCCCCCCCCCGAAGTCGCCTGAAACGAGGGATCCAATAAAATTTACAGTATTGAGGCACAACTTTAACACATGTATTGTACTGTAAGACATGGATTGTGTCATAAAAGCCCCAGTATTCACACACAGCAACTTGTACCTTTCATATCAGTTGTGTCTTTGAAATCTGGAGAAAACATAGAAACTGTGTCATATCAACTAGACATATGGCTATTGTTCCCAAGTATCAACTTTTCAGATCCCATCCTAATGACCATTTGCCAGTTTGTGTTCAACATCAGGCTCCTTGTTTAATAGCAGTTAATCTAGTGGAGACATACCACCGGTAGCAAATGATCATTTGGTAGCAAATGATAACTGGTAGCAATTGATCACTGGCAGCAAATGATTATTGATTATGATTATTTGCCAAAAGTTGTTCACTGATAAATTGTTTATCATAATATCAAAAGTGTTTTCTCAGTTGACACATTATTGGTATCTTTAACAAGAACTGAGATAATTGAGCTCGAAGCCGAATGTTCGGGTGAGCTTCTATTAGAGGAAATACGGTACCTGCTTATCAGAAGAGTCAAGAACACGTGGTCCACTCAATTCATGACACAGTGTTGGATCACTTGTAACATCTGGACACAGAAGAACTCGAGATCCAAATGTCGATTGTGAAAGAGTTATAGTGAGAATAGAAGGATAAGCAAGATCAAATGTTGGACTGACAAGAACTGCACGAATACCACCTCCATTCAATGTAACACTTGCTCCATTCCCAGTTTTCAATACTGGAACGTCTCCTGGCTTCTCAACAATTGTCTCATAACTACAGAATGTATCTGAAAACAATACAATTTTGATAATTCGAGCATCAAATTGTTTACGTTTAAAATCGCAGACCAACTGATCGCAAACAGTTTGTTCTGCTGTTTTCAATGGACAGAATTCTCCAGATGTTGAAACCTTGCTAATGATTACAACTGCATTGTCACGAGACGAGGTTTCAATTGTTACATAAAATGGAGTCGTTGACGAGACACCGATTGAAACTATTCCATTTGTTTGATTACCATCAACACATTGCTCAAGAGCACAAATTCTTACTTGTGCATCTTCGGATCTGAAGCAGTTCAATATGAAATAATTGTTATTTAAAAATCTTCAAACCTCATATATTCCACATCAATTCTCCCGTTAATTGAACAGGGAACCATTCGGGATCTTAACTCGGAAACCGTTGCATTCTGCATCATAAACACAGCCACATTTCCTTTAATTCCCTTTGGAACTGGAAAAACATCAGAATCTCTCGGCATGACACCGTACTTCACAATTCCATCATAGTTGACCCACTGACTACAGTAATCTTTTGTAAAATCACAATTCAGAGATAGATCATATGGAACGTAACGACCGTTTCCAGGTTGTAAACCAAATATGTGTTGGATCTGAATAATATATCATGATTTGAATGAAAAAATACAAGAAACTCTTACAGTCGGAGGACTGATGGTTGTGACAATTGGTGGAGCAGGTTCCGAACAAAGAAGACCTGCAACTCGTAGTTCGGAAATTGCCAGTAATCCAAATGAATTTTCATCGAAAGCAATGATTCCAACTGTGAATTTGAACGGTTGCGAATAGGAATCTAGGTCAATAGTTATTGGTCCAGGGCTATCATTTGGTTCAAGATAGGCACAACTCAAAGCAATTCCATCTTCATCAACGGCACAGATTTCAGCTTGAGTTCCAGTTTTCATCCAGTATCTGAAATTCATTGTAAGAAAGATTCTTCGAAATCTATCTCATACTTTAATGAGAGACTTGTCGTTCTTTGAGAGCAAGGAATCACTTGACTCGTAAGACTAGAATAAGGACGAGGAGAAAACGAATCGACAGCAAGGAAGAGGAATGATGAATTGGGATGAGATTGATTGGCAGTTATCTGGGAATGTATAGAGATTAACTTGTTAGTTTTAAAAAGGATTCACTTCAAACATATCAACCCATCTGTCAATGGATCTTCCAACTCTCCATTCACTTAATTGAGATTTCGCTGCATTTCCCCATCTACAAGATCTCAAAGGTCTTTCGCAACTGAGATCTGACATTCTGACGAGTGGGCTGTTGTCGTATGGAGGAATTCGAAGTGAGGAGAAAGATGAAGGGAAAGCTGAAATGGTCGAAGGAGATTAAGCATTGAGTCTCGCCAAAATATATGTGATAGGCAGTTCTTTTAGGCCTAACACACTCCGAATGTCCTAGATATCATACGGGAAAGCAGCTGCAAGACGGGCCCTGGTGGGATATGTCTTAGATCCGTTTAAGAACAATACTTTTTGACCATCTAAATTAGATATGCTAGAACTTGAGCACTACAAAATGATGTTATTTGAAAAACGGTTTCTTGTCCACGAACAAAGTTACATACCAAACGAGCCGAAGTTGCCAGCAAGGCCAGTCCCGACCCGGAGCCAGCTTTATGGCTTGCAACTTTGTTCATAGACAAGGTACAGGTTTCTGAATAATATCATTTTGCGGAACTCTTTGAGTTCTATCATATCTAATTTGATTAACACGAAAACATTGATCTTAAAAGGAATTATGACAGGAGGCTTTTCAGATATGCTACATTATTTTCTCAAATTCTGGTGAGATTTTGGAAATGTGAATTTGAATTAATGTCCACTAAAAATTGTTTAAAACATTTTTCGATTATTGTATTTTGTATTAACGAAAAAATTCTGAAGATACAATTCATTCAAACACTTTTTACCACTCATCCTACGGATGACCAAAAATAGAAGCCCACCCAAAACCCTAACTTTAAGCTCAATTATCTCGATTCCTGTGAAAGATATCAAAAAGTAGTTAACTAAAAAAATGTTTATTATTACATCAATAATATTTTGCCAGCTGATCACTTTTTCATATCTTTTACAGGAACCGAGGTATATAGTCTCAATATTGAAAGCTAAGAGTGGCATTCTATGACAGTGTTTACGGTAACTGAAGATAAAGGAAAAACTGAATTGCGAGCGAATTTCAAGTTAGATGAATTTCAAAAACTCACGAGACTGCTGACAAATCTTTCCGTGATATCTAATATGATCTATGATTGCTAAGCTTCCGACTGTATTGTCCTTCAAATCGAATGCACGAATTCCAATTCTAAATGGCTCCTTAATTGGTGGAATTTCCACACGACACTCTTCGTTTGCTGCTCCCAAAAAGTCACATTTCATTTTAGGTCTCATCAAAACTTGTAAATGACGTCTTCTATTCATTGCACGTAGAATCACAACTTCCACTTGAGCATTGTTATACAACCAGAAGCTGTAGAAAATGTTGATGTTTTCATATAGTTTCTGTTTCGAATGAAAAACCTGAATGTCAAATTGGCAAATCCTTTTTGGCATGCAACTGGAGCACTGCTTAACACTGCACCGTTCGCTGTTTTTGTGGTATTTCCAGCAATTATAAAATGTTCTCCTTTTGGAATTTTCGGATTTCCAGGTTGAATTTGTACAGGGAAAGTTTTCTCATCGTTTTTCTGAAATTCATTTGGAAAGAGAATATTTTCAAGTATTGTTTTTTACCTTAAAATACCACCAATCACTTGTATCTAATAGATTATCAGTTGGCGCGTTTCTCCACAAACATTCTGTTTCAAAATCACAATTCAACTCATCCGGAGACTCTATATATGTGGCAAATTTAACGGCTTCTGAAAATTGAAATCTAAAATCTGTAGTTAGTTTGACCAGTCGGTTTTGCGCCTAAACTTTATTTTCAGCGCTAAAAAATTCTCAAACACCCAATTTTAAATAGTTTTTTTTTCTCAAAACCAAATTCTCCAATTCGGAAATTTGACAATTCAAGAAATTTAAAAATCCCGTAATTCTAAACTTTAAAAAGTTTCGAACTCTGGAATTTCGAAATTTTGCAAAACGAAGTTACAGATATTCAAAATTTTGAATATCGCAAAATCACAGTAATAAAGGACCGTAAAAACAGCCCGAAAATTCGGAAAGTACAACAGTTCGAAGGCTTCCGAAACAAAAAATTCGAGGAGTAGTGTGTAATTTTTCCGTAAAAACATAGAAACTTAGAAATTGGCAAACTGAGAAATCCAGAAATTGAGAAATTTGGAGAATCAGAAATCCAAAAAATTCGAATTCAGAAAGCCAGATTTGAAATTAGACATTCGGAAAATGAGAATTTCGGCTGTTCCGAATTTAGGAATTCATGATTTCCAATTTCTGAATTCTGAATTTCGCTGTTTTCAGAACTCTCCAGTTCTGAAGTTTGGAATATTGAAAATTAAAAAAAAAGGAAAAGTTCTCGAATTCCAAAAACTCGGAACCTTTGAATTTTAGAAAATTTATGGATTTCAGAAGTTTTGCATTTCCCGAATTTCTCAATCTTTCGATTTCTGAATTGAAAAAAATGTTGAACTTCCAAATGTCTAAATTCCCGCATTTTCCAAATTTAAGGTTTGAGAATTTCTCAAATTCCAAAATTAGTTACGAATTTTCAAGTTTTCGAAATCCGAAGTTCGAAGATTTCATATTCAGAAAATCAGAAATTATTTGGTTTTGGTTACAAGTGTTGATTTACCTTCTACAGGAATATCTCCGTTGTTGTCCGGTTTAATTCCCAAATACAAATCTAAATATCGCAATTCTTTCTGAAATTGAGCATGACATGCTTCAATTCCAGTAGGCAGAAATAGTGCAAGCAGAATAAAAAGTTTCCAGAAACTAATCATTTTGAGGATCAACGTAAAAAGGGATATTAGTAGAGAACAATGGCAGACGACAGGATGAATAAGGGCGAGAGAACGAGAGGCAAACCGGATTCCTATTGATATAAATGCTTGCTGGACGGGTTCGCATCTTCTAAATTGTCTTCGGATTTACAACCAAACATTTCGGATGATCAATCAATAATTTATTCGAATTACTATTACATAAAATGAAAGAAAAACAAAACAAGACTTTTCGACTCGGGGGTTATCACAGACATGAATTGTGAACGAAATGAGGAGAGTAACTGGAGAAGAAGAAGGTACAACTATGTGATAAATTAAAGTATTATACAGAAACCATTTCGATAAAACATGATGGAAGTTTTATATGTTGTTCTATGACAAATTTAACCCCTTTTAACCCGAGCATTATATTCTCCTATTCATCTTCATCATCGGTCACTGGTTGGCCAAGAGATTTAAGACGTCGTCGATACACGGACATCTTGTTATGTTGGTCGGCGAGAAGCATCAGCAACTCTTCCTGTTCTTGTTTCAGCTTGGCTAGCTCGTCGTCACTTGCCTTCTGAACATTGGGCGTTTTCAGGTATTCTAACTTTTATGATTTACCTGATCTACGTTCTCTACTGCTCCGTTGGATACTGGTTGACTATTTACCGTTGCCAACTTCGAATTCGCTTCTGATAGAGAAGCATCTGCCTTCGCGAGTCGTTCTCGAAGCTGTGCATTTTCTGCGGTGTAGTGCAAAATCTGAAAGAACAATAATTTTCTAAGATCTAATTAGCCTACACTTACCGTTTGTGATTGTTGTTCAAATGCTTGATATCCGTATCCAAGTTGTTGTTCTAGTTCAGCAACCTGCTGTTGCAATTGTGTCACTCCGACCTCAGCACCATTTGGTAACTGTGTTAACTGATAGTTCTGCCACTGTTGAGCCCATTGCTTGTACCGTTCTGCTTCGGCATACCATTGTTGAGTAAGTCTCTGTGCTTCAGCCAATTGACTATTCAACACTTCGGTTTGTGTTCTGAAAGCGGCAGCCTCATCCAACTTCACACGAAGTTGCTCAACTTCTCTCTCGGCCTCTTTGTTTTGTGCTTCAGCAGTCAACTTCTCAATCTCACCACTCATCTTTTTGTTCTCTTGTTTAAGTTGTGCAATGTCACCATCTTGCCTTTTAATTAGCTCTTTGAATGACTGAATGATGCTATCATTACTTGTTCCATTGAATTCTCCATTTGGTTTCAATTGCTTAGCCAGGGTTCCTTCGAGTGATTTGAAAAGTTTGACGAAGTTGAAATCCAGAAACAGGTTATTTTTATTGCTTTCCGATGGTTGTTGCTTCTGTGCTGCCCTCACAAACTGCTCCGTTCGTGTAAGTCCTTCCAAAGCAGATAGCACAACTTCTTTTCCAACTCTTCTAGAAATCAACGTTTCTATTGAAGACCGGGTATCTTTATCTTGGATATTTTTGAGACAGCAGAGCAGCACGAAAGCCATTAGACCACGGAGTGCTTGTTGTTCACTTTCCGTTCCTTCGCCACATTCATCCACAATATGTGTTGTCAAATATACTAAATTATCTTCTTTTGCCATGAATGCCGATACTGCTAAAGGGCAATTCTGCAACCAAACTCCCAAGAGCATCAAAAGACCAGCTCGAGATTGCGGTCGGCGGTTTCCAGCCGAAATCAAAAGCTGTGAAACATGATCCAGGAGCGCCAATTCCGGTTGTTCAGTAACGATATTGATCTTCACTCGTAGAAGTTGTTCGCTGAAAAAAAAATCCCTGGATTTCGACTATTAAGTCTTCCAAACTCACCACAAATGATCTACATCGTACAAGCAATGCATCAGAGTCACGCATCCAAACCATGCTTGAACAGATTCAGCTGAAGACATGGCTTGCAAAATCAGCGATCCAGTGGTTGGTGTGTTTGAAGGTTGTGAGTTTGGAAGAAGTGTTTCGATGATTCTAGCTTTTCCGAATTCGTTATCAAACAAGTAGCACAGGAAACAGTAAAATACGGCACACCGCAATTTATACGTCTGTTTTTCAGCATTCATGGAGAGTAGAAGAACAACGAGTGAAGATCGTGGACCATCTTCACCATTATCAATAACGGTACTTGCGAAGAGTTCCTGGTTTGTATAGTTCCCGCGAATCGCTTCAGCAACAACAATGATAGATTCTGCGAGAATCTGGAAAACTATTTTTATAGAGGTATTCATCTGTGAACAGAAAACTCATGGAACTAGAAAAAGACTAACCTCAAAAGAAGCACCGATTTCAGTGAGAAGAACACGGATCAACTCCTCGAGGATCTCTAAAAATCAGCAAAATGCAGAAGAAATGTTAGAATACAACTCACTTGTTTGGTTCAGTACTTTTTGAGCTGCATGTGTATTTTGGCTATTGTTATCTGGACTGACGAGTGTCCGGATAATTTGCAATAGAAATATGACATTTGCAGTTCGCTGTTTCGGCCATTCTGCAGCGTCCACTTCATCTTCTGTCTCCTCGTTACCGTATAAAAATGTGTGTAGAATGCCGCCTAATCTGGCCACTAACCTAAACAAAAGCATGAATATACTTTGAAAAATAACAATTAATTTACTGATTTTCTCTGAAAAGCTGCTGGTTCATTGAATTCTTGCGGAGCAGGTTGAGCATTACAAACAAGCAATCTTCGATCACAATGCCTAGAAAGAAAAAAAATTAAAGGTATAAAAACGATAGAAACTCACTATCAAATGGTTCTGTTTCAATGATGTTCAAAAGATCATTGAATATGTTATCATAGGCAAGAAGTTGTTGAATTTGCGAGTTTGCTCTACTCAGTTCACATATCATAAGAATAGCCTCGTTTCGGATAACTTCTCGGTTGTCGTGAATTATATCGACCAGTTTGGAAAGTCCTGCTGGTTGTTGGAGAACAGCATTCTGTACTTCTGTCCCTCGATGGCGGAGCAAGTTTGAGAGCAATTGAACTGCAGTTCTAGAAATCGAAATTCGTATTATTTCTGATAATGAACACCGGATAAAACCTTCTAACTCCAAAATCAAACTGATCTACTGCGGCCAGAACTGAAGCGATGAATCCTTTTCTTTTGAGCATCATTTCAGCAAGTCGTTCTCCTAGTTCATCGTTTTCAGAAGAGTCGTCATCTGCTGATAAAACTGTTGCTAAAGTATCAAGAACGAGTGTCATAGTTTCCGAATTCAGTCTATCAGTTTCTAAAACATCGATGTAGGCGTTCATTCCCATAGTTCCGACGGCTAGACGGTATTGCTTGGCAACACTTTTGAGTCCTTTCAGGGCATCTCGACGATCCTCAGGAGCACTGCACGTCTCCACTCGTTCTACAAGCGTTTCTACGAATTCGGCTCCATTATCTTCCTCTTCGTCAGGCTGTCCACCGCCGAAAAAGTTCCGAAACAGCGACATCTGTAAATGTACACGTGGAAGTTGAATAAATTGTGTGAAGAGCGATATGTGAAGATTATAGTGAAGAGAATCTAATTAAAATGTTAGAAAGATAGTTTTTGTTCCTAATTTTGAGTTTTTGAAGAAGAAATTCTAGTAGAACCGAGGAATCTTCATAAAAAAAAGAGATAAAACCTGTCGTGGAATTGGCGGATGAGTTCTCAACGGGGCGCGTTTGCTTGATTGTCGGGAAGCATTGCTACCTCTTTTTTTGGCTTTTTTCGCTTGAAGACGGTTTCGAACATGACTCTGGAATAGATATAAAAATATCTGTTTTTAAATAAGTGTCTTGTTTTCAATTGGAAATAGTTTTGAACCAGAATAACCTTCTGTAATAACCATTGGTAACTGTAAGAAACTATCGAAGGTTACTGTATATTTTTCTCGAGAATGCGAAGCAGACAATTCCTATATATGAACCAGCAAAAGCTTTTTGAAAACTGTTGCACAGCCTGTAGAAAAAAAGAGTTCTAAAATTCGTTAATCACCTGTGGCAAATTGTAAAATGCATTGGAAATAGTTGTTGCATCACTGGAGAACGATCTGACTGAAAGTGTCGATCCAGTAAAAGAAGACGTTGAATAGGCGAACATTTTTTCGGTAGTGATAGAAAGTTCACTCGATTGCTCAGTTTGTGTAAAAGTGTAATGTAGGAGGAGGAAGGGAGGGGAAAGAAGAAGATGAAGAAGACAACGGAGAGTTTTGTCACTGATCGGAGAGAGAAAAGGAGAAATCGGAGTGAAAGATTGGGAAAGACGACACAGTTTCAATAGCACTGAATTTGCATATCGTTCAAAATGTTGTTGAAAAATAAGAATATGTTTAGATTTATGAAAAAGAAAATTGTTAACTAAACTTGAGAAGATAAAATTAATACAGGCAGTTGTGGAGCTGGAAGAGCTGGTTGGATAGTCATAATGGAGAACGGGTAGCGCTCGTGTCGAACTACACATCTGAAAATTTGAAATTCTTAAAACTTAAAACCTGAAATACGGAACACCTGAAAATCGGAAAATCTGAAATTCTGAAGTTTTGACATTTTGAGAGTCTAATAATCTGCAATTTTAAAATTTTGAGATTCTAAAAATCTGAAAATCTGAAAATTTGAACGTTTATAAATCTGAAATCCCGAAATGCTGAAAGTCTAAAAATCGGAGTCTAAACATTTGAAATTCTTAAATTTTGAAAGTCGGAAAATCGGAAAATAAGAAAATCTGAAATTCTGAAATTCTGATTCTGGAAGTTCGTAAAATCTGAAATTCTAAAATTCTGAAAGTTCAACAATCTGAAACTCTGAAACTCCGAAGTTCTGAATTTCTGAAATCTTAAAAATCTAAAATCTGAAAATCTTTAATTCTTAACATTTGAAATCCTGAAATCCTTGCTCGGGGGAGTTCAAAACTCTGACTTTCTGAAGTTTTGAAATTCGGAAGTTCTGGAATTTGGGATCTCTGGAATTCTGAAGTTCTAAAAATCTGAAACTCTGGAATATTGAAAATCAGGAATTCTGAAATTCTGAAAGTCTGAAAATCTGAAATTCTAATATTCTAAAATTCTAAAAATCTCAAAATAAATGAAATTTTGAAAGTGTAAAAAAATAGGAGATCTAGAAATTTTGAAGTTCTGGAATCTTGAAATTATGAAATTTTGAAATCTTGAAATTCAAAAAATGTGAATTTTCAAAAGTCTTAAAATGGCGAAATTCAGAAATTTTGAAAGTTCTGAGATTTTGAAAGTCTAAAAACCTGAAAATCTGAGATTCTGAAAATCTAAAATTATGCGCTTCTGAAAATCTGAAATCCTAAAGTTCTGAGATTCTGGAATTTCAAACGACAGAAAGACTATGAGATTACTGTTCCTAGATTCATAGATTTTGAGTCATGAGATTTCTAATTCGAATGTTTTTGAGAAGATAAAAGAAATGTAGAATTTGAATGAAAATATGAATGAAAACAATTGAACTATTTTAATTGAGCAATATTCTGGAAAATGGATCCGAACTGCTTACTATAGTACCCCCAGGTTTTTATTTCATCTCCCGTCCACCATCTTTTGACAACTGTTCTGCCCCCCCCCCTTCTTCGCCGTCTTACTGTAGTAGGCGGAGCCTGCTGAAGTCTGATTCCCTTTTACCAAAAAGGCCTTCAACCATTCTGCCACTTTGCTGATTCCCTATTTCTAATGCTCAAATTTTCTATCGACGTTCTTCTAGCTCCGGGGAGATCGTCTGGAATTTTTCCATTTCCAGCCAAGACATGCCTGTTTGCTGATTCTTCTTCAGGTATCAGTTTTGATAAATTGATGGGAAACAGGAAAATCATACATTAAACAAAATTAAAAACATATTTGGACTTTTTCTTTAAAAGAAAACTTAGTTTTGACCATAAAACCTGTAATGGAAGGGCCCACACTCTGTCGATTTTGAGCTCAATCATCTCAATTACTATACAAGATATCAAAAATGCGTCAACTGACAAAACACTTTTAATATTATGATAAGCAATTTATCAGTTTACACATTTTCGATATAATTAACAGGAACCGAGATAAATTAGCTTAAACTTGATAGTGTGAAGGCTCTTCTATTAGAGGTTTTACGTTTTTATCAAAGTAGACGAAGAACTAAATTATCCAATTTCGAAAGTTTTCGTTAATACCCAAACATTTTTTTTATTAATACCCAAATCTCTAGTTTTACTTTTTAACTTTACATCATTTTTCGGATGAACTGAAAAAGGGCCTCTCAAAAAAGCCCAAAATGAGTCCCAAGTTTCATGTATTCCAGGGGAAGATGAAGCAAACCGAAAAAAATTTCCATGTGAAATTTGTGGAAAACAATTCAACGCACACTACAATTTGACTCGTCACATGCCGGTCCACACCGGAGAACGACCGTTTGTCTGCAAGGTAAAACTCCAAAATTTATTGAATTTTCAAATTCCAGTACAAATCTTTAGGTTTGCGGAAAAGCGTTTCGTCAGGCTTCCACACTTTGTCGTCACAAAATCATTCACACCGACAGTAAACCGCATAAGGTATTCAATTTTGTATCTCGTCTCTAATCCGGTGACAGGAAGAGAAGAAGTGGCCCCAAAAACGGGATTAGATTCTTATTCTTCTCTTTTCCTTATCCGATTATATTTCTCTTTAATACAGTAGACCATTTGAAAATTTCCAGTGCAAAACATGTGGAAAATGTTTCAATAGATCGTCAACACTGAATACACATGTTAGGATACATCAAGGTGAGAAGATCTAGAATACTATAGACATACCACATTTTCAGGATTCAAACCGTTCGTTTGTGAAGTTTGCGGTAAAGGATTTCATCAAAATGGAAACTACAAAAATCATCGTCTTACCCATGAAGAAACCAAGAAGTACTCCTGTACGATTTGTAAGAGGGTAAGAATTTATTCAGGAAGATTTTTTGAATTCCAGATTCTAACAGAAGCCTACTCAAACCGTCAATTTTAAGCTCAATTATCTCGATTCCTGTTTAAAAAAAGTGGTCAACTGATAAATTATTTTTCATGATATCAAAAATATTTTGTCAATTGACCACTTTTTGATATCTTTCACAGGAATTGAGATAATTAAAGTCAAAGTTTAAGATTTGGGTGAGCTTCTATTGGAGGGAGTACGGTAATTTTCCAGAATATGGTCAAAAGTGTTTTTCCAATATTGGGCTTTCTGAGCCCACTCATTTACAGCCCCAAGTGTTCTTCTAAAACAGGTTATTAGAAAATTTGGCTGTGCACCGGCATTAATCTTGGGTTTATTCGCCAGAAACCTAGAACTGATTCTTTGATTTTTTTTTTCAAAAAATTTTGTAAGTTTAAATTTCAAATGACACTATTTTAGGAATTATAAAACTACCAGCAAGCTGGTGCGCCTTCGGCGCGATTCAATCAAGTTTTTTTACTTGTTCGTCGCTCCACTCCTCACTTTTCATTAAAGGGTCACGTTAATCTAAATTTATTTTTCAATTTTTTCAAAAGTTGACAGACTGACACCGGGACGGACAGACGCCTCTAGCGTTTTATATATAAGGAAGATCACGGTGTTTCAAAGAACGCGGTCGGATATCGCGCCCCAGAAAACTTTTAGGCTAGATGAAATTTAATAATTTCAAAGTTGACGTGGATTTGGCCTAATTATTTTTAATCAACGCGTTGCAACGCGAAATTTTTTTGCTCCACGTTTGAAAGTTTGATCCTCAGTCAAAGAAATGTGCCACGTTGAGCAGTGTGTTCTCACGTTCGCTGGGGCGCGTTTTCCGACCAGGTTCTTTGAAATAGCGCGCTATCAGCTCAAATTTGTAGACTTACTAACAATAGATGATTCCAACAATATTTATTCAGAAAGATATAGAGATGGTTTTATAGCATCAACTCTGAATATAACATGGAAAGTTAAAGATTCGATCATTTTACACAAAGTGCTGGAAACTCTATTCTGTATTTCCAGGCATTCCATCAATCCTACAATCTCGCATTCCATATGTTCACCCATGAAGAACACAAACCATTCACTTGCCACGTGTGTTCGAAGGGATTCTGCCGCAACTTTGATCTAAAGAAACACCTTCGCAAAATGCATTCTCACTCCATTATTCCACCTAATACTCCATAAACTTATTTCTCCCAGAAATTCTTTGAACCTTCCCGACACGGTACTTCCCAAAAAAAGCATCTTTAGAATCCGAGGCGAAGGCTGTATGAAACTTAGCGCATCTATTTTTTATTAGTTTCATGTTCACGCCCGGATGCGCACAGAAAAGGGAGTACTGTATGGGATAGAAGGGGAGAGCATGTGTGTATGCTTACAAATGACATTAGACATGGGGCATTGAACATCAAAAAGTGACAAAGGTTCGTGTTCCGTTCGCGCGCACAGGAACAGTTTTTAAATAGATATCAACTTTTATGTCAAAAACCGTAAAAAACAAGAACATGTAGTGTTGGAGGAATAATGTAAATCTATTTACAAAAGAAGAATTATGCAAGCACTTCATGCTTGAAAAGGAAATATCACAAGTATTTACAACGTTTACAAATTGACTCCGTTAGTTGATGGAACTCTCCGAAAATCTCGTTTTGTAGTACCTGAAAACATGAAATTTTGAAAAAAGGATGTTGAAAAGGGTTACTTTTTGATAAGAACGTCCAATGAGTACTTTCTTTCGAAAAAGTCAGAAAGTGTTGATTCAGCGATGACCGATGCCAAAATCTGTTCCAAATTGACTCGCCATTCATCATCGGCCATACTGAAACTATGGAAGCATTAAAATAATCCAAAATAAAGTAGACCAACCAAGTCTGCATATCTCCAATTCGTTTTCTTTGAACTTCAATCGGATCGATCTTTCTATCTTCTTCAAACTCATCATCTCCATCTGGCTGTTTCAAAGTTTCATCCAAATCCTGCATAGCATCCGCTATCTGGGCTTCCAGCTTAGCTTGAAGCTCTCGATGCGTCTCTCCTAGTTGCAAAAGAAGAGTTCCCGTAACTGCCAACGAGTGGAATACCGATTGCTCAGTTTCTTTTCCACTGAGCATATCGTAGAACGTCTTCCATAACTGAATAAATTGAATCTGGCTCATCGCTGGAAGCATCTTCATTTCCAATTTCGTAGATGAATCAGGTGATGAAATGGTTTTAACTCTCAATTGTTTCATCTTTTCAATCGATTCGTCAACAACCGAATAGGATTCTGAAATGAATAAATTAAATTAAAACAAAAAAAAGAAGTAAATGAAATCAAGTCTAACCCTCACTAGCAACATCAGCTACTTGAATGCGATCTATACCAGTTTCGGAAGGACATGATCCGATAGATTTGGCAGCAATCATATCAATCAAAGATTCAGCGTCAGAAGCTCGTTCTTCCATATGTGCAGGGACCATGACAGCACTCGAAGTACTGCATCGTGTCTGAAGTTTCAACCATTTCAGATTTACCTAGTAGTAATCAGAAACCAACCTTATAAGAATCTCCCAGATTCTGATCAGATGGTTGTCGTGGGATATCTACCGAGCATGATCTCTTCACCTGACCTGCCGCCATTTTTGGAGATCTTAAAAGATCCGTAGCCTCCATAGCGAGTTCTGGTTCTGCCCCATTCCGATCCGGAGAGCTCTCTTCAATTGGATCCAGACCATCCAGATCGGACATGTTGAACGCAGGTGGTAGGTGACATTTATAGAATAGTGCCAGTTTTTCCGTAGCTTCTCCTCGGAGAAGAATCGAAAGATTTATGACCAGGTCGCGGAAGGTAAGAAGTCCGTTGTCGGAAATATCAAGAAGGCGGAAAACTCGAATCACAAAGATGTTGGTCACAGGCCAAGGCAAAAGTCGTGGGAAAATTTCCGAAAATAGATCATAGTCCAATCTAAAAAGAATGTGTTTTTGGAATTTATCACTTTGGGATTCTGCCTACCTATATTGTGATTGGGCGCATGGATCAGGTCGAGGTCTTTCAGTAACTGCAGCCATTTTACCTCTAGCCGATACTCCCAGGCGATGCCTCCATGATAGTAGATGTTCTTCCTGAAAAAGAAGAGTGACGTTAAAAGGATGAAAGTTCATGAGATCGGAGATAACACCATACACCTATTGTCTTTTTATCTGCGCGCATAAGCTTCTCCAATTTTCCATTTCATTCATATCACTCCGATTCCCGAAACCCGAGTTTCTTACCTTTTTCTCTCACATGCTAGTCTGCTGGTCTGATGAAAATATGTATATTAGCCATTAATTTTTTGACCGGCAACGTTCTTTTCTGCAATTAGCAAGACATAACATCAATTCTGGCATTTCTATCTTCGGTAATTAACGTAGTCCATCTTCTTCTTGTGACCACATCATTTTATTCATGTTCTTCAACATGCTTCCCTTTCCTGTCCTATTTCCTTGATTAAAATTTCTCTACTTAGGAAAAGTACATCTGCATTATCAACACTATCAAAAATCCAGAGAGTGTCACCTTGGAGTGGACCGGCTGTCTCGTCTCTCCACACTTTCACTACGTGTGACCCGTATTTTCTATAGCCCAACCCAACCATGCATCATTCAGCCATTCACTCTGTTCTTATCGTGATGTTCCTCAACTCATTGATATTATTTGTGGCTGCGTGCCTGAAGACGATCCCTTCTGAGGCGGTCAGCATTGCTGGTCAACTCGACAATGCTCCTCTTCGCAGAATGCCTGTTCTTCCTGCTCAAGACGATTATTCTGTTCATATTCAACAGTTCCGTCAAGCTAAAACCTTTCCATCACCGCAACCAATAGAAACTGCAACTTCTGCGTCTGCATCTAATGTGAAACGCTCTTCATCTTCATCAGATGGTGATGATTTCACAGTTTCTGATAAATCCGTAGAAGCTCCGAGAGTTGCCAGTAGAGAAGGTTCGAAAAAGAATGCCAAAACGTTTGCTGTTAAAACAAACACAAGAAGTGAAACAAAGGGAAACGAAAATGAAAATGTTAGTCATCCAGAACCGGCTGTGTCTCATCGAGATAGCAACAATGTTCACGATGACCGTGATTTATTTGAAGCCCTTCAAGTGGAGAAACCTGGTGAGCTCAATGCTTTATGCAAAATGAACGTTAGAATATTGATTCAGATATTTGTGGTTCCTGTCCACCCCTTTGGATGAAAAATACAGCGGAGATGAAGGACATCTGCTCAAATCATGAATCTGTATCCACGTTCTTCTCAATGACAATGGACAAGAGAGATGCTCAGAATATTGTGGATACGAGTGACTTGAAGGAGTGCACTAGAACGATTACATGTACAGAACCACATATGCTCGTGAAGTGAGTTTCAAGAAGTCTTAAAATTCTTAAAATTTTGTTTCAGATGGTATGAATCGGAACTTTGTGATGTTCACGCACCGTATTCAGGATCCCTGATCACTGATTCATCGAACACATTTATCTACAAATGTAATGGAACCCAATGGACATTACACGGATTCCCCCTCTCCAGTGTTGTCTGTGCAGTATCTTCGAACTGATTTTCTTTCAAAGCATTCTCATATTTCGGGTAACCTTATCTCATTTTTTCGCTAATAAATAATTTTTACCTTCACAACATTATACAGTGCTTCCAACTCCTCATTCGTAAACTTGCAATCCTTTCCGATGCTTTTGATGATACTTCTCATTTGATTATCCTCTAAATTCTGTACCACTTTCAGCCGATTCTTCAAGCGGAGTGTCTCTATATTCTCATTGGTGAAGCAATAGCCAAAGTTTTGATAGGAATTTCCTAGCAACTCTCCGATTGGCATCTGAAATCTTCAGTTAAAAACTAAATTATAAATATTTCACACCTTTGGAAACGTTCTGGTCCCTTCAGTTCCCATAAAATTCATCACCGTCGATGCAGCTTCTTCCAAATCTGACAGAATCGTTGTTCCAATTGTAACCCCGGATGGCTTTCTCTCGATAACATTGTCACCTTCATGGATACTTTCCGTGTATTTAGCCAAACTCATCAGGATCTCTCCGTCATCTTTCGACTCGCAAATGAGTTTCTCATTCTGTTTCAGCATCTCCAGAGCAACTTGGAACATTAGCTTGAAATGAACAGATATTATTAAATGTTTAAAGAATCCCAAAACTAACTCTTGCTCCTTCGAAAAAGAATAAATCGAGAATCCGTACTGCAGCATCAAACTTTATAGCAGAAAGGAATACAGTGAGGAACCAAGAAAGAGCCACCATATCATCCAGTCCAAGACGAGTTAGCTGGGCTCCGACCGATGGAAGAAGACGTTCAACAAGTTCAGAAAATACTCCTTGGTCGACCAATGCTCCGACAACTTTTGTATTGTAGTAATCAGGTAGAAGACGTTCACAGACGGCGACTAAAAGCCAGAATGCTTCTTCCTCTTTTGTGAATAGAAGAAGCACTGAACCAACAATATTCATTGCTTGACAGTATCCAATGTTTGGATTTCTGTACGCGTATGCAGTCAAGATTCGCCGAAGTGCTCCAATTCCTGGTCCTTGTTGAAACGCTGGATGTTCAGGAAGACTTCTGTGTAGATCTCTCTCGATTTCTTCAAGAGCAACACTGTACACTCCTTGATTTTTGTGCAACAATTCCCGATAATATCCGGGATTGAGTGCCATTTCAGCAGCTGCTCCAGAACAAACCATCCAGATTTGACCTCTGAGCTGTAGAGGAACTCCTTCCAGAAGCAGGCGGTGTAGCTCGACAGTTCGATACATGCATACTCCACTACCGTACTCATTCAAATATTTATTCCACTTCTCTCTGCATTTGTCGGATGCGTCTGCTCCAAATGGATACTTTTCGATTAGTGGATAGTCCCACGTCAGGCTATCGAATGAAGAGCTTGAAGATGATGTGGACTGAAATTATTTTTAAAAAATAGGGTGAGTCGTTTTGAAGACAAATTTCTTACGCTTCTGCTTTTTTCTGTGTCTGCCTTCGCCTTTTCCATTGTTCTTTCAATTTTCCCCCGTTCCAAATAAACCGTAATTTTTGAAAGAACGCGGTCTCGATCCGGAACATCGGAGAAGATTACGGTGGATTTGTTTCGAAGGCAGAGAAGTATTCCTTGTGTTGTTAGAGTAGCAGATACTGGTGAACACTCTTCGACAGAAGTGACTTCGATCAGAGGCACAACAATAGACACCAGTCTCTCGGTCTGGAATGGAAAGAGACTTGTTACAGAACTTGTGAACATATAGACATACTCTGCTGGCAAAACAAACAAAGTTCGTTGAAACAAACAATTTTCCAGGAACATGACGTCGGTCGTATGGAGTAAACAGTCGGCAGTTCGTGTCGCCGTCGAGTTTTTCCATGAATGGTAGGTTGAATTGGCATCTAAAAAACCAAAAGTTTGTCAAGGGAACCTCTATCAGAAAATTAACAGAAAAAGCAACAATTGCAACTTTTGAATTACTGTAAGACTGTAGAAATCCTCTATTTCTACAGAAACCTGAAACTTTAGACTATGTGTTTCGGTGCATTGTCAGATGTTTTCACGAGTCTCTCGCACGAACAATAAAGGAAATGTGACGTCTTCTGCAACACAGGGTAATTTTTTTACGCACTGTCTCTCTCCGTTTTAAGTTGAAACTTTCAACAACTTGAGAACTTTTCTTCCTTTTCCTTTTTTTTGTATACCATTTTGATATCATGCCGAGAGTACTCATGCAAATTCGATCCTAATCTATACATACACATGACATTTTAAGGTCACCTTCATCCCTCCTTCTCTCATTCATAAATATCATCATATATTACACATTCCATCCCGACGGGTGCCCAAGTTTCCTGCGGGGGTCGGGATCTATTCCCCGTCTTTGCCTCTTTCAATTTCACACTATTTTCCTTCAGTTAGGACTTTTTTAATACTTTTCAGTGGGCTCATCAAAATCATCTTTCATGAAACGTTTCTCGGGAGCGCTCGTCTGTTTTTTTTTCCTAAAAAATCGATTGACTAGAAACCAAGATCAGATGACCGGAAACCTAAACAATTTTTCTCCTGTACTCCTCTCCTTCCCTATAAAGTACAATTTTCGGATTAAAATTTCACTTTTGCAGCAAAAAGTGTTGCCATTGCAGATGAATTTATCTCAAAAATCTTCGTCATTCGAAGACTTTGCCGGACAGGTTGTGATTTATACTGAAATTGGAAATGCCCGATGTGCTAAAGGAAGAGACCTTCTTCGTCGAGAGGGTGTTCCATACACAGATGTTTCGCTCGATTCATTCCCTCAGGTGGGAAAAGATGAAAATAGATGACGAGTCAATAGAGAAACAAAACAGAAGAATTCGATGACTCTATTCATTTTTTTTCAGCATACACAAGAAGTATTCGATAGAACAGGCACCGAAGTTTTGCCACAAATTTTTTTCAACAATATTTATATTGGAAACGAAGCAGATCTGGAGCGTGTGGTAATTAATTTCTATTCCCCCATTCAACAATGACTACAGTAACTGCAGATCGGAGAGAAAAACAAGTGGGAGAGCCTAATCGAACACGTCCGTCGTGAGAAGTGCACTAACGGACCGATTGTTCCCCATCCGATGAATGCAATTGGTTTCGAAGAATACGACAACGAGAACAACAACAAATGTTGTGAGGAGGTTCTGTGGGTTCCCGATGAGTACAGCAAACTGGTTCGGGACATGAAGAACGCGCAACTCATCAAAAATAATCGCGTCAGTGATCTAGAGAGAGGAAAAGGAAACTTCGTTTCCAAAACGGTTGAAAAACACACAGACACATTTTTACTTTTGTTACAGGTCAAACTAAAGGTGTACCGAAGCTCGTTCAAAGGCGAGCAACTTATTGAGTGGCTGATGCGGCAAAAAGGAATCCGTGAGTTTTTCCGGGGGCCTCCGAGAATATTTTATGGCACATAACCGGAAACAAGAGAAGGATTACCACGAGTGTGGCACATAAACTTACTGAAATTGCTTTTCGAAACAAGCCATCGTTTCCACTCTCTTTTCTGTGTTTCGTCCTTGATCGTTTTGCCTTCTTCTCGATCTTCTTCTTTTTCTGTTCTGCACTCAGCTTTTCAATTTTTGTGTCGGGGTTCACCTAACGACTGCTGTACATTGATGCCACAAACACTCCGCTCGTTATCAATTAGAAACGCACATCATCAACGCCTCCTACCCCTATTTTTTTGTCCCATTCGTCTTCTTCACCAGAGACAACGAATCAGTTTGAATCATTTGGATTGACTTAGTCTTTTGACTTCTATTATTTCTAACCCCAAAATGGATTCAATCCGACACAAAAAATCGTCTGTCACTTCCCCATCACAGATCAGAAAGAATTCTCGTCTTGATAATATTGACCGCTTTATTTTGGAGCAACTCGCCGAGCGATCTTGGCACATTGAATATGAATCAGATCCCGAAGGAACTGAATGGAACGAGCTTTGTTTCGATGAGTCGATTGCAACACCGTTCTTCAAGAACAACTCCCACGCTTTTCGTTTCGGTATATATTTTGGTTTTTCTTCTGCGCACACCTGCACTTTCATACTTCCTCCATAGGTGAAATGCCCCAAAGCAGAAAATAAACAATACGTCTGAGAATACAAACACACACAATGTCACACAGTCTCTTCTACATACAATACTAAATTCGTTTGCAGGAAGGAGCGAAGCGCTCGAAGTTGGTCAGGAATTGATCGATAGGCACGTGGGAAGGCAAACTTCGAAGGAGGCCGGGATGACGTTCAGTCCGGACAGGTTGGCAGAAGAAGAACAAAAATTGGATGACATTGATTGATTCGACGTTTTTATTTAGGTATTATCAACTGGTTGAAGACGACGAAAACAAGCCACTGAATGCAGTACAAAATGGTGAAGACGAGGAAGAGAAGAAACCGAGAATCCCAGTGGCAAAGTGCAATGAAAAGTTCACTAGACTGCTTAAACCTGTATATTCAGATATTCTCACAGATCATAATCAGGTATAGAACCGAAACTGAACTCGATTCTCGACTCTCCAATTTCAGTCCATAATCTATGGAGGATTATCTTCCAATGATAACTTCACTCGATATATACAGTTCGCACGAGAACTGAATCAAGTAACATTCGATGATTCTACTCCCGATGACCGTCTCACATTTTTCATCAATGTCTACAACATGATGTTGATTCATATTACACTGAAACACGGCCCGCCAATTGGAATTTGGCAGAGGAGAAAGGTTAGTAGAGACTGCTGCAATCACTTCGGAACCGTCAGTTTTCAGTTAGTCAATGCTACGTATTACTTGATTGGAGGTCATCGATATGCACTTCATTCCATCATTAATGGAATTCTTCGAGCAAACAAGAAAGGACCAGGAATGCTTTGGAAAGCATTTGGAAAACAAGATGAGCGTCTACCGATTTCTCTGTCAGTTTGTGATCCGTTGATCTACTTTGCTTTGTGTTCGGGATCCAAGACAACTCCACCTCTCAGAGTTTACCATTCAAACGTGATAACTGGCTCAGAACTCTGATAAGTAGAACTATTTTTTTCAGACAATTCATCAAGAAATGCGTGAGAATGCCCGGACAGCTCTTCTAAAAGGAGACAAATTCCTTCGAGTGGACATGAAGAAGAATGTGATTCATTTGGGCAAAACATTCAAATGGTTTTCAGACGATTTCGGAGGAACTATTGAAAAAACACTTCAATGGATTTTGGATGTTATTGATACAGACGTCAGTGATAAAAAAAACAATTTACAAAAACTCTTCTTCACTGGTGAATATTCTGTGGAGTACATTCCATATGATTGGTCCACAAATGGACGGATGGATGAGAAGGAAAAGGAAGAGATGACAAAGAATGAGTGATTAATTGCTGTTTTTGATTGTATATATTTGAATTTCCAAATTTTTAAAACTTTTTAGTTCAAGACTTTAGATGTTGTATAAAAATAAATCCTCACCTGAATGCGTCACTTCGATGTCTTGCATCAAGATCTCGTTTCAGAAATGAGGCTTTGGTTTTGATGGTTCTCCTATGCTCACTCTCCATTAGCATCTTTTTACGTAGAGAAGTATCCTCACAGAACCCTTCTTCTTCTATTAGCCTGGAAATAATAATAATAAATTTTTGAGTCGGTTCAAAGCAAAATAAGGCTCCGGCATATTTCGCCATTAGTTTTTAAGATACTAAAAAACCTGAAATTTAAAATTCTGAAAATCATATTTCTTATTCCGAAAAAAAAAAGATTTTTAAAAATCTGATATAGAAAAAACACAGAGAAATGTTCAAAATTTTAAAATCAAAAGAATTTCACAATTTCAGGTGATTACAAACATGATTTTTCTAAAAAAACACATTTTGAAACTCAAAAAATTTCAAACAATAATGTTTTTTTTGAATTTTCGAATTTCAGAAAAAAAAAAACTTATTTGAAAACCCTGAAATTTTTTTGTAGTCTAAATTTTCTCCATTTTCCATGCCTCAATGGCGAAATGTACTCGAAGCCAAAAATAAATACTCACTGTTTCATGGCAATATTGGCAAGTTGTGATGCAAGTTGGAACGTTTCTTCGAAATTCAAGAACATCGAAAAACTGAACTTTTTATCCTCTTTAGTAACGACGAGAATGCTTTGGGGAAACAATATTGAAGTAACTCGTTCAAGCCTCTGAAGATATCATATTTAGTAAAAAGCGTATATCTCAACTCTTCCTTACCACAATGTCTGTCCATTTCAGTTTGATTTTAGTCTCGTTTCCCATGATGAACGAATGAAAACAAAGAAAATTGACAGATAGAAATAGATCACCTTGTGCAGGAACTTTTCCTTTCCAGTGACAACATTTGTAGTCTAAAATTGAAGTTCAATGAAATATTGAATCAAATAAAGTTAAAAAATACAATTGACTATTTTCTCATCCGGTGGAATCGAGAACGTTTTATGGAACTTTTCTAGGCACGACCTAGTTGATACGGAGTCCAGTTCTTCTGCAATTAAACTTTTTACAATGGAGGCGATTTTTGAAATTTAAAAATTTACCCGAATAAGGAGCGACGACTTCTTCAGAATCACTTGCTAGGCTGTCTACTTTTGTAGTCACATATCGACGAACATCTTTTTCGAATTTGAGTGAATCTGAATAAAAAAGATTATCTTGATTTCGTATTCACTGATAAAATTAATAAACACCTATTGCAGGAATGAAGTTTTCTTGAATATAAGACCAGTGCTCTTCGATTTCTTTCTGCTCAACTGCTACTGCCAGAACTGAAGTTGGAAAATTAGAATATATCAATTTTTGAACATTCTTATTACCTATTGAAATATGTATATCTTCATTGTCGAAATCGTAGATTATTCTGTACGGTGGTGGTCTCGTATCAAACACAGAATCTATTGTAGCAACTAGTAAGGACGAGAATCCGCGAGTTCCGTGTCCTTTTCGGCGTTGAAGCTTAAAATATTGAGTAGCTTTTTCGCATGACCTGAAATAAATTTTTTTCGAAACATTCTGTGATGAAATAAAATTACCAAAATGATTGTGCCAACAGCAGATGTTCCGGTTTGACCCACACCATCAAATTTCTGCAAAAATGGAATCTCAAAGTCTAAAAGCTACACACTAAATTGAGTATGTTTTACAGTTCGAAGGTCTTTCTATCGAACGAATCGATTTTTTCTGCTGCAGAGGCGACAAGACACACAATAACATATCGAAAAAACAGGTGGGCAGTAAAGAAAAAAAAGAACAAACAGGGAATGAATGTGACTATATGAGCTGGGAAAAAGCTATTTACATTTTGTTTTTTGGTCATATTCCGATTTGGAATATGAACCAAAAAACTCGAAAATAAACAAAAAAATTGGGAGGAGAAAAACCGTCGGATGAGCAAGCTCGCCCTTTTGCACCAAGTGGAGAAAAGTTTTGCAAACTGGAACAAGATCGAGATTTTATGTATTGTTATTAAAGTTTTAAGATACAATCTGAACGTTCATCTTAAACTAAGCACCCTGCTTCGTCAAGACCTCACAAGCATCCGGTTATATATAAATGAAAGTTCTCAAGTGAACATTCATAACACAATATGTTTACGACTTTACACATTAATAACTGAACCACTAGGAAATCTGCCTTTTGTCTTCATTGTGCCAAGGTGGTGATTGCAGATTTTTTGTTTTATGTTCACCGTAGTAGCAGAAAGTTAAGAACAACGCTGGGATATTAGGTTGGCGGGAAAGTCTTTGTCACTTTTTCAATAGTTTATTTCTCAAAGAAAAAATAACCGAATAATTAATTATATTGTCCATCATTTCAACAACATGTCTCCAACGTTCCCTCAATTTATGGATTCCATTGCGGTAGAATCCAGCCGGGCGTGAGGCAAAGTATTGTTTGAGTGCCGCTTCGACCGCTCCACGGGAATTGAAGCTTCTTCCTTCGAAGGCACGTGTCATATCGCCAAATAACCAATAGTCGGAAGGAGCAAGATCAGGAGAATACGGGGGGTGAGGGAGAACATTCCATCCATATCCCATCAGCTCCTGCTTCACTTGTTTCGAAACATGTGGGCGAGCGTTATCATGTTGATAGTACACTTTCTTGTCTTTCAGGGCCGAACGGTCGACTGCTTTCTTGAGGTTTCGTAGTTGAGTAGTGTAGAGGTCTCCAGTTATTGTTTTGCCCTCGGGCAGAAGTTCCCAGTAGATGGGGCCGTCCACTCCCCACCACACTGAGAGCATAACTTTTTTCGGATAAAGGTCGGGTTTGGGGACATCCTGTGGGCTCTCTCCTTCTCCAACCCACTGGGATTTCCTGTGGTGATTATCGTAGAAGACCCACTTCTCATCTCCGGTTATTAGCCGGTCCAGCCATCGATCGCCCGCGTGGAGAGTGAGAAGAGTAATCGAATCGTCGACTCGGCGTTCAAGGTTGGCTTGAGTCAGGTGATGAGGTATGAATCGACCAAAAAGTTTTCTCATTCCAAGAGACTTCAAACCTTCAAGGACTGTGCTATGGTGAACTCCGAATGTGACAGCTAGTTCACGGCTAGATTGAAATGGATCCGATTGCAATGCGTGCTTCAGCTTGTCCAAATCCAACTCACGGGGTCTCCCAGAGCGATCCTTTTCATCGAGCGAGAAGTCATCTTTTTCGAAACGATGGAACCAATTGCGAATAGTATTGTAGTGAGGGGCATGTGTGTTGTACACATTCTTCAAGAAAGTTTCCGAATCCTTCATCGTGGTGTGAGATAGGAAGAGGTAAATCAAAACATGTCTGATGTGAATAGCAGTGGGAACAAACATATCGTTTCAATTACAGATGAGGAGCAGGGAAGGAGATGGGGACTTGTTTATATGGAAGGTTCTTATCACCTTGTTATTCACTAGAGTCGATATCATACACAGCCTCCATATACGAGAACAGTGATTAAACAAACAGAGTGACAAAGACTTTCCCGCCAACCTAATACATAATAGAATGAATCTATCTAGTTCTGGGATGTTTATAATGGCATTTTCGAAATTTTTTGGACGGTCGAAAATTCCAAGTTTCCAGAATTTTGGAATATTCTAATTTGGAAAATTCCGGGATTTCGGAATATTTCGATTTCGTAAAATTTCGGAATTTCGGAATACTCCGATTTTGAAAATTTCGATTTCAAAATTTGAGATTTCCGGACTATTACGACTTTGAAAATTTCAGAATTTTGGAATATTCCGATTTTAAAAATTTCGGAAAACTTCGATTTTCACACTTTTGAAATTTCGGAATTTTTGGAATTGAAAAAAAGAAATTCCACTTTCCGATCACGAAAGCGCAAAAAAAAGGTGAAAAATGACAAACAGCTTTTGAAAACGCGAAGAAAATCAGTAAAAGAGATTCCGCTCGAGACCCGCATGTAGCCTTTTTGCATGCGCCTTTGACGTACAGTAATCCAAAAATTCTCTAATTCTGAAAAAAAAATCCGAAAAATTCCGATTGCAATTTCATTCTAAAAATAATCCTCGTAAAAAATCTCCGGATTTCGTTCTGAACATCCTTTACCTTTATTGTATTTGATATTGATCATTATTCAGGAGATATACTGTACTGGGGCAAATTTTCGAAATCGCGATTTTTTCTGATCTATTCCAACCAATTTCCACATGCCCTAACATTAATATTGTTTAGTTTTCTTAGTGGGACCATTTTATCAGAAAATACTGTTGTCTGTTTCGGAAGTTATTATGCATCTTCCATTTTTTGTCACGATGCTTTCCCTCGTTTTTGAACCCTGGTCATTTTGAAATAGTTCGTTTCAATTCCTTTTTTTTCCAAAGTATAGAAAAAAATAAGTTAACAAATGAATTCATTCACAAGCGGTAGGATAACATAGTGAATCGAGAACATGAACCAGTTTACGAGAAAAACGCAAAACTACACATCCGAATTCTCCATTTATCTCCGTCCGATTCTCATTAGAGTTCCCAAATTGCAGCTTTCACATGGGACCTGTCCCTCACTTGGAAACTGAACGTATTCCTGTTGATGAGACATTTGTCGCTTTCCGATTCTCATCATGTTTGACAAACTGCCACGTTTCAAAGTTCGGAATGGTGGGCGCATGATCCTGAAAAAGAAATTAGAGACTATTAGGTTACATATTCTAGGTCAACTTACTCTCCATCGCTCTCGTATGCAGCAGAAGCGAATACATTTAATGCCAAAACCAGAACGCAGAATAGAATTGTCGACTTGTTGAGCATTTTTAGAGCCTGCTAAAAAGTCGCCTTTTTGCGAGAAAACTCTCGAAATGGCTATTAACACCGCTTCTCATTCTTTTTATACTTCAATTATAAAAGTGGGCTTTGTCTAGGAGAAAGTAAAATAAATTGAGTTACTCACATATTTTCTTTTAATTACTCTGCTCGACTATTATAAAAATTTTACAATTAAGTACGACCCAAACGTCACCCTTTCCCAATAATAACTCTATAACTAGATAAATAATAGGTTCCATGATAAATTGAAAAAAAAAGCTATCAAGATTCTCGAGGGAAGACACAAAATTCTCGTATACTTTGCAACTAACGCCTACTCATTGTCCAGTTCTACAAAATTTTAACGAAGACGTCATTCCAGAATGACAAGCATCAATCGTATCGAGCGGATTCTAGAAGGGTTCGATCCAGTGAAAAATGGACTCGACGGCGATTTCGTATTGACAAAATTGACTGCCATGAAAGGTTGCGGATGTAAAGTTCCGAGAGACGTGCTTCTTCAATTGCTGCAGACATTCAAAACAGACTTGGTCATCAACAACGATGAAATTGGTACGGAAATATCTCATTTTTTTACCAGCTCTGACGTATTTCTGAGTTTTTCTCAAAACTCGGGATACTGTAACTACCGTATTAAACATGATTTTTTGTTCTATTCAGACATCGGTCTCGACAGTTGTGTGATTCCTCTTCGTCATCCTGGTCTTCGTCTTGTTCAAACTACTGATTTTTTCTATCCTCTCGTGGATGATCCATATATTATGGGTCGGATCACTTGCGCAAATGTGCTTTCCGATTTATATGCAATGGGAGTTTCGGAATGCGATAACATGCTGATGCTTTTGGGAATTGCCGTTGATTTGAATGAAACACAGAGAGATATTATTGTTCGACTTTTTATTCAAGGTTTTAAGGTTTGAAAATACTTGTATTTAATTCAAACTTTAAGTTTAAGAGAATTTCAGGACGCAGCAGATGAGGCAGATACAAAGATTCGTGGAGGACAAACCGTCCGTTGTCCTTGGCTTCTTCTTGGAGGAGTGGCAAGTTCTGTTGCTCATGAATCAGAAATAATCAAAGTGGATCGAGCAGTTCCTGGTGATGTACTAGTTCTTACTAAACCGATTGGAGGTCAAGTAGCTGTAAATTCATACGAATGGATTAAGAATAACAAAGGGAAAATCGAAGAACTTGGACTCGATAGTTCGAAAATTCGAAAAGCTTTTCAACAAGTTTGTGAGCAGATGAGTCGTCTCAATAGAAATGCAGCCAAGATTCTTCACAAATATGAAGCTCATTCCTCAACAGATGTCACTGGATTTGGATTATTCGGGCATTCTGAAAATTTGGCTCGCGTTCAAAAACAACAAGTGGAGTTTGTAATCGAAAAACTTCCAATAATTGAATATATGGATGAAATTGCTGATCGTATGATTGAAAAAGGTGGAGAAGGTTTTCGATTATTCCAAGGTCGTTCTGCGGAAACAAGTGGCGGACTTCTTGTTGCAATGTCTATGGAAAACGCTCAGGTATTATGCCGGTACTAAAAAAATCGGAGTTGTGCTACAGAAAAGCCAGTGGCCGTGGTCCAGTAACCTAATTTAACAAATTTTTCTTGTTATTCACTGTTTTTCGTCGAGTTTTCTGTTGTTTTTCCGTCTTGTCTCTAGGAAAATCATAGAAAAGCTGACGGAAATTATTGAAAAACGAGAAAATAAACTCTGATAATAACACATTTTCAGGTTACTGTAGATGTCGTTGTGCGACCTTCGGTCGGGGTTTCTTTTCCACAGCTCCCTGCCTTGTACTAGATAATAATAGCTTGATTCATTGAGAAAGAAAAATTGCTTTCAGAAGTACATTACGGAACTATCCGCTCTTGATAATGCCCCTGCGTGGATTGTCGGTCGAGTGATCGCAAAAACAACCGATTCGTTTGCTAGCATTGCACCCGATGTTGTTCGTCTATCGATTCCATCTTCTATTTGATTTGTTCTTTGTTCGCCACTCTTATCATAGACACTACTTTATCACTGGTTCCCAATTTTTGTTTTCCACCTATTTCAGTTTTTCTCTTTCCCTAATAAATTCTTGTTCTCAAATGGAAAACGAAGACGACAAACTCAGCGCGGAGTACTCCTGCTCCCTACATTCAAAAAATCGAGAAACAGCTGGAGATGAATTCGATGCAAAAGTGGAGCAAATTTATAAAGATTTGAAGGATTCTTCAATTGAACGAAAAGAAGATATTTCGTATAAACCGAATGGAGAACTCACTCAAATTGACATTTGGGGACCGGAGAACGCGCAGAAGGTGTTCATCATGATCCACGGAGGATACTGGATGGTGGGTAGCCTATTTTGATTTGATTGTTCAAAAAAACAAAGAAAAACTACAGTTTGGAAACGTAAAAAGTGTTTGCCAGTTGTTGGTGTTGCACAAAGCCTCGGGTATACTGTAGTGAGTATTGGATATGACTATGCCAACAAGAACCATACATTGAGGCAGACCATACAAGAAGCAATCGATGGAGTTCGGGTAGGTTTTAATAGTGAATCCGTGTCCGTAGACTGGCAAATGCTCATTGGCAAGAATTTACCCATTCGCTAGAAGTTCCCTATGTTCAGAGTCTCATTTGCTTGAATTTTCAAGTCCCAGGGGTACATCGAAAGAAAGTGAATATGTATTCACTCATTTGTTTCATCAAGAGATACACACCACTTGTCGTGATTGACGGATACATTGTCTGAAATGGAAACATGCTCGAAAAACTCATTAAAAACTTGACGATTTTAAGCGATTTTTTAAAAACATTTTACTGATATATCAGTGGAACTCTTTTTTTAAAGATTTATTCTACAGCCAGAACTCATTGAAAAAACACCTGAAAGATCAGGAATTGAGGATCTTCACTGTGGTTACTATTTTTAACTGTGTTTCTAAACAGTGTTCCAGGATCTTGAAGTCATGATATTTGTTCGTATTCTTGAATCTTCCAAAAATTAAAGAAAAATCGGTGGAAAACTACCGAAAACTGGTGAAATTCCACTATTGTCTATTCAAAATAATCGCGC